GGAAATGCATTGAAATTTTTCTTCCAATTATATGTCTGCTTTGTTTAATGTTAATCTGTTTAAAATCTGTTTTTCCGTTAACCAGCTGTCGCACCCCTACGAACGACAACCCTCAGAAGTCGAAACTGGAGAAATGGAGATACAATTCAGATTACACTTCTATTACTAAACCTACTTTGTGGCTGTTTCGGGTGTTTCGAATAACTTTCTTAAGATTCAAATGCAACTTCGTAAGTGCTCCAAAAGAACTTGCATAGACCTTTTAATTACAGCCTTCTAACATAAAACATAAGAATATTTTGGGTATGTGAAAAGTATTACAAGAAAACGTTTAAAGAATATCAATTGTGGTGTTTCAGCGATGTCTTAAAAACATCCGCCTGCGACGGACATTGGCTGTTATATAGATGTTATATCAATGTGCAAACAGAACATCGCAGTGGAGGTTCAATGTCTCAAAATATCTCACTTTTAACATCACGGGAATGTTTTTGTGCTTGCTGGGTAGATATTCATGTGCCATTGATCATGAGTACACGATCATATTTATATATTTATATCACGTTCATATCATATACACAAGTATATAGGAGTGGAACCGCTATCAACAACTTCTACAACTATGGTCAGCTAGTAAAATCAAATACATTCGACAATATACCAAAATTTCAATAAAAATTGCTTGAACTTGTAGATGTATCTAATCATAGCTGTCAGAAATCGATATATAGATATGAAATGGTTAGGGTGTAACTGAGAAAACAGCAATGCTACATATGATGCCTTCAGTGTTTCGGTCAGCCACAACATTAATTGAACTTCAAATTCACGTATGTTTAGAGAACTTTGAATTTTACCATGTTTTTCGATTTGATAGAGGAATATCACCTGACAAATGATATATTTTTCAATTTTCTTCAATTTTTTTTGAGAATAACACAAAACTACGTTTTGAGTATTGTTTTTAATAAAATATTACAATATAAAATTCCTTGAAACTTATCAAAGTTGCAACAAAGGAATACTTAGAAATCAATATAGCTTTTTGAAAATGTTTGTTTGTGAATACTGTTTAACAAGTACATTTTCAATAAAAATATTCGTTTACTGAAAAAATTGTTTTTGAAATATTGATTAATTTGTCTAAATGAAAATTATTCATCTATTACTAAAACAACTGTTCAGAACTCTCAAGTAATCCGATACTGCTAGTTGTCCACTGCTATTTTGTCCAATTTGTGTGAAGTTGCATTTCAAAAATTTGAGTTCGCAAAATTTGTTTTGTTTACCAATTTCGTTAGTACCTTCCCGAAATGCGTTTTGTAAATTACGATTTAAAGCGTTCACTTTTCCACAAATATCTTGGTAACTGTTTTGCAGTCGCACTGTTGTTTGGTTGGCAACAAACCTGCCCAAGAAAAAACCTGTAAATGAAAAACTGTATTAGAGTACAGTCTGGTGTGCAATAGGTATACTATTTGCGTAGTGAATAATAAACTGTAATCTTTCCCTTTAGGTGAAAAGCTATGACCACTAGTTAGTGATTAAACATTTTTTTTTTAAACTATAGGAGTGAAAAGGTACCTACGGCAAAAAAAAGGTGCTTGGGAAATAGCATTATCAATACAAAGTTCTGCTAAAATAGAAAGCAGAACGTTTCCTTTCCATAGCATTGTTACCAAAATTCAAATAAATGTGAGCTCGTTGTCTAAGACGAACATCCTAAAAAATATTGTTTTTAATAATACTTGATCTGAGATTTACACTCGGTTAAAAAACTACAATAGCTCTTCACGCGTGTTCAAAATTTCGGTACGATAATGCTTGCCAATGAAACACGTCGAGTAATTCTAAATTTATTCATCAATAATAAACCACAAAATGATCACAGTAAAATATAATATTCACTGCTCGTTAACAGCATACATCCGATCGACTCAAATAATCTCAAATTCATATCTTCGTAAATGATCATTATTCCGCGGATACCACATTTCCCCCATCTTTTTCAACTTCAGTTGTTTAATCTTAGTCGACTTCTCTTTTGGTAATTTTCAGGGATTCAATACCGAAATCAATACCTAAATATTTTACTTCCGATATTACTAATCATAGGTTACCGGTCCTCACATACTCCATCTTTTTCAACTTAAGTGGTGTATTGAAATGTAGAATAGAAACCTCTCGTGCAGAATGGATCCTAAAACAAGAACAGTCTAAAATTTCATTAGTTCCGACTTCCATTGTCTAATATGATATGATCTGAAATCTCTGAAATAACAAATAAAATTGAGATAAAAAAAATTGCTGAAAATGACAATTATATTGAACAAAAACACTGAAATGAATTTACGATAAAACAAAAATTAAGTAAAAAAATTAAAATTGAACAATCAAAAAGACATAGAATTGAAAATTGAAAGATTTCAAGCAGAGCTACTTCACGACGTTTCGATCACGACGTCTTCGGGTGATGACTGATGATGACTGACAGTCGTCACTCAGAGACGATTACAGATACTAACAATCGAAACGTCGTGAAGTAACTTGGCTTGAAATCTTTCAATTTTGAATTTCAATTTCATTGTTCAATGTTCAATTTTTTTAATTTTTGACTAATTTTTATTTGATTGTAATTTCGTTCCAGAGTTTTTGCTTGATATAATTATTATTTTCAGCTCTTCTTTTCAATCTCAATTTCCATTTGTTATTTCAAAGATTTCAAATCATATGATATTACTAATGATGCACTGTTTGGAACCTTTGGTGATGAATATTACTGGAGTTTTTTCCCAACACCAAATCGTTATTTTCAACACCTCGACACGTGTTTCGATCACCAAGTGATCATCTTCAAAGAGGAAGATTAAAACTAGACACTAATGCGAGCTAACCCTATTTATGCTATATAGAGGTACCCTATACAGGTAAACCATCCAGGCGTATCACCCATACAGGTATACAAACCTAAATTGATTTTACAATATTGCCTATCCAAAATTATTTTTGCAATGTGTCCTTATGTAGTAATCAGTAAACCCAACAACATTATTTTATTTTAACAAGCTATATAGTATGCTCTTTGGTATAGGTTCGTCATCGTTATTCATAATATTATTGTGTTTACTTATTTCTACACTCTCATAGGCATCTAGTTGCCTGTTGTTAAGTTGTCTAACTAATCTTAATGAACTGAAGTCTATGGAATGGTTTTGTTACAAAATATGATGGGCGACTGCTGATTTTTCAGGTCTTCCATATTTCAAGTGTGCTATGTGTTCTTTATATCTTACTTCAATAGATCTTTTTGTCTGTCCATAATATTCTGCATCGCAGTCCTAACATTCAATTTCGTAAATTCCAGACTTTTCCGAATTCTCGACTTTGTCTTTTGGACTTCCCAAAAGGCTCTGTAGTGTATGACTTGTT